CTGTATGGGAAATATTCCCACCCTGTTCCAGCATGCTGGCTGCCTGCTCATGCCAAACCTAGGGTGCTCATTTGCTTTAACGTGTGAATCTTTTTTTTCCATCTTAAGTGTCCAGTTTCCAAAAGGCGCCTTGTGGGCAGTGAAGAGGACCCGGCCCTTTGCGGCTGCTGTCCTGGATAAAACCCGTGAGATGCCCAAGTGGGAACGAGCCCCTGCGGAGGGGCACTGAGCGCCCCTGGGCAAGGCCAGCGGAGCGTCCTGCCTGCAGCACTAGGGCCTGTCCCAGTCCGTGTGGGGCTGCAGGCACCGCACCATGGCAGGGATTGCTGGTGTTCTCATCGGTGCTTTTATTCAAAATCTATTGCTTTTTTTTTTTTTTTTTTTTTTGAAAAACAAAAGGCCCTGCTGAGTTGCTGCTGTGACAGAAAGCGCTTTTTGTAGACAACTCTTTTACATTTTCCCTTCTCCTGTCTGGCTTTTTAACTGCTTCGTGTGTTTCTGTTTTCCATTTGTTTACACCTTGCTCCTGCCAAGCTTTTCTCTAATATAAGATTTCAAAGCAATTTTCCCTTTGTGAATATACAGATTTGCAGCTTCTCGAGCGCTGCACAGTCAAGAATCAGTCAAGCCCCTTTAAACTCCCCTGCAATTAGCTGGTAAAAGAAGGCGGGGGGAGAAGAATGGTTCTGACATATTTATTTTTTGCATACTTAGAGGAAAAAYGGTGCTTTTTGTTTTATTAATGAGGTGCTTATGAAATGGAGCGTTTGATGGGGCAGGCCTCACGCGGGCCTCCCTTCTGRGCCGCTTTAGCTCATTCCAGATGTGGACTCGCTCGGAGCAGGGGCTGCCTGATCTCCAAGGGTTGCATGGTGGAGAAAGACGGTCTGCAGTCGAAACGACCCACTGTGTTCTCTGCTCTTGCCTGCGGTCTGTTACATAAGATGACCCTTTTTGTCTTTTCGCCTGTGATTAATCCAAGTAGAATATTCATGCTGTCTTAAAAGCGTTTTAATGATTTGCACTTTGAAGTTTATCAGCTGCCAGTGGAAAAATCTGATGCAAAATGCTGCCTGCCTGCAAGAGCCAGGCTAGGAAAAGGGTTGAGTCACGTAAGGATGATGCAGCTGGAGAGCAGGAGCAGCTGCTCCAACTGCTACTGGGGTTCGCTCGCGCTGTGGGAGCCCCGGCGGACGTCAGCAACATGGATCTGGATACAAACCCAGACCTCAAAGAGGTCACCTGGTCACATCTCCTTCTCGGAGACCAGCTCAGACAAATTGTTGTCCGCTGTTGTTCCTCCCACCAGGGGAATCTGCAGCCCCTCGATGCAGGCAGATCTGATGCTGTTTTGGAGATGAGCAAAGTCCAAAGCCATGGATCTGAGCAGAGTTAAAAGTCGCTTATGAGTAATGTAAATGTTCACCTGGGGAACAAACTTTGGCTTCTCCTTCCTTTGGTTGTCCCCAAGCAAGCCTGGATGTCTCCCTGAGGATGCATCTCAGCCACACCGCGGGTGAATTGCTTGAACCTCAATGGCTTGTGGCACAAACGGGCCCTTCTGCATTTACTGTCTCTCCTCGTGGTCAAGTGTSCTTGTTGTGACACTGTTGTGTCAGTTAAGGGCAGGTTTGGGCTGATCCCCTTGTTCTTGAGGGCCGGGGCAGAGCTGCAGAGGGGGCACCTGCCTAGACCTGGGCTGCAGCAGCTGCTTTGCCTCTCTGTCCTCACCAAGGGTGTCTGGAGCTCCAAATACCTGACCCCATGAAAGGCTCCTTGGCCTGTCCCTTTGCCGTGCGCATGAAACGCTTTTCCAGAGAGAGCCTTGGGGCCTGTGCACAGATTTATTGCGTTCTTTAGAAATGAAGTTACAAGAATTATTCAGAGTGAATGGGAAAAAAAATCTKCCGTTAATAGGGATATAAAACTGGCAGCAGCCAAGTAGCAACCAGGATTGCGCAGCCCGTCGGAGGAGGCTGCCCAGTAGTTAAACACATCCCGCCCGGAGCGGGGCTTAGGCCGGCTCTGGGGACAGGGACATCAGACCTGCAGACTGCCACTTCTAACTACGTTCGGAGTTTCCCCGGTGTATTAGAAGTCTCCAGAGCTGTATGAATACATCAGGATCCTAGTTTTCATTTAAAGCCTAAGTGTGCTTGTAGGCCCTTTGGAAGGCTTGAAAATATGATCCATATAGAATTTTCTTAAATTAAAGACATAAAGTGAGTCACTCTTCCTTATTTATTTATTTTTAAGTGTTTGTGCTGCTGAAGCACTGGGAATCTCCAGTGACTCCAGGAAGCTGCATTTCAGTAAAAAATGAAATGCGTGGACAAGTCCCTGCACTGGAGCGTCGCTGTTAAGGCTTTGCTGTGATGGAGCCRCAGATGTGTGCTCAGTATGACAGAGGTTGCTGCCCCATATGGAGGGATGGGGATTCAGCCCAGTGTCCTCATTCTTCTGGGAAACATCCAGCAGAGATGAGGAAGCTGCTTCTAAAAGTGTTCGTCTCTTAAGAGCTTGGCACGGGGTGCCTCAAGGYGGGGTGTGTATTGGGGACGGGTTGCTCACTCACTTTGCAACAGCACCAGTGCTTAAATAAGGAGCTATGAATGTTTTATCACGAGGAAGGCAACAACAGTGAAGTGATCTGATTTCCAGGCAAGGTTGAATTGCTCATTCCAGGGAAATGCATATAGATGACCAGGGGGAGCTCGAGCCATGGCCTTTCCTTTTCTTTTGTTAAACAGTATGTGAACATGTCATCTCAAAGCTGAAAGATACGAATGAGATACATACTTGGGCATGTGCTGGATTATTTTGCTGCCGTTAGTGTGGCTGAATTCTGCCCCTAAGAAATGCCTCATTTTGCAAGGGCTTTGGATTTTGATGGGATCTCAAGGGGAATAAAACAGTCCTTGTGTTAAGAGCAGCAGAGCCTTGGAATTGGCTGCCGTTGAGAGTTTTGCCAGGTAAATGAATATTTGCGTGTGGTCAGTTCAGAATAGCTGTGATTTTTGTTTGCTTTTTGCCTTTTCCCTGTGCAGGGCAGTTTGAGGAATGAGAGCGGGCGCTGCACGTCATTGAGCACTTTGGGAAGCACAATTTGATGGCCACGTTGCTGGGCTGTACTAGAGGGGGTACTTTGAAACTCAAARCTGCACCCTGTGAGGAGACCAGTTTGCCATCGTTTTGTCCCGGTCCTCATTTGGAGGAGGGAGGAGGGCTGTATTTCTCTGTTACACTCCTATTAGGAGTGCAAGGCACTTTATAGCAATTAAGGCTCTTTGGAGTGCCCTCGTGTTGCAGCTGAGTTCTGCTTTATGTGTCAATAAATACAGTTGACTCCTGGCCCCACATTTAACAAGGTGCTTCGTGTATCACTTTCATTTATCTCAAGRCATTCTCTGTCCTAACATGCCCTGTTAATCAACGGGAGACTTTTATTATCAGTGCGTTTAGGATCCCAGTTAAACCTGTTAGGATATTGCTCATCTGCTTGGCTTTCAAGTGAACAAATTACCCACAGGTGGCTGTGTTTTCAGGCCCAAACTTTTGGGTTACCCCTTAAGACGCTGGGTTTGTTTTTCCTGTTTCTCCTACCTCTGGTCTAGCGGCTGTATAACGTCAGTCCTTTATCATTTTCCTCTTAGATATTGATGTAAATACTGTCCTCTTTGTTCCTGTATCTGAAAAGCTCACCTGGCATTGTATTTAAATGTCTTGGCATAGGRCCCCAGTGATCACGTTAAAGAAGAAATCACATTTTTTCTCAGTTAATAAAAGCTCTGATGGAAAAAGAAAACCAAAAACATTGGCTTTTAGTCTGCAAGTTGTCACCAGCCTTAGATCCCTGATCTACCCAGCAGTTCCCTCCCAGTGATGTGCACCGTTGGACGTGCAGTTCTCAGCAGCCTCCCTCCTTGGGCGCTTGTGTGCGGCAGGAGCAGCTCGTGTGCGCAGAGCAGGGCCAGCCAGAAACAGCTGCCCAGGCAGACGAGCCCGAGTTGAGGGGCTTCAGCCAGTGGCCTAAAGAAGAAACCCCAATTGTGCATTTTCCTGCGTCTTCCAAGCTTGAAAACTGGAGATTTTCTAATAATTTTGGTACCCTGRTTCTTCCCTTCTCACTGAGAGAGCCCTAGCAATTGCCTACTGCAGCTTGCTGGCTTGCTTGTTTTTCTCTTCCTAATTTTGTTCTGCTAATACCTGCTACACTTGTGTTTCTTTGGGCCTGTTCTTCCAGCCTATGCTCAAAGCTACTTTTGTTTTGTATTTTGTATAACATCAAAGTTTGTAAAGCACTTTTGGGAGAATATTTATGATCAATTTAAATAAAAATAAAGGTGTCCTAAATGCAAAATATTACCTTGCTTCTATTTAAAAGTTACCGTGTGGTTTTATTATTTTGGATTGGTGCAACAGGGGAGTATTTGATGGGTTGCTGGTGTTTCCTTTCCTGTGTCTCMAATCCTGCAGGCCTCTCTCACGAGGCCGCGGCTGTCCCCGGATGCCACTTGAGGCTCCGCTACGAAGGCCGCAGCGATTCCTTGGTGTTTGGGTCTCTCTTGAACAGCCTTCTGCTCTTCCACCACCTGTTTACACGGCTCCTGCTGATCCCGCCTTTCCTCTCAGGGGCATTTGGGCAAGTTGGAGGCTGCTGGTTGCTGCTGGAAGGACCAGGGRGCAGCGAGCAGCGGCTCCACGTAGCTCAGAGCAGCCCTGCAAGGAAACCTCCGCGTGCTGAACTAACCCGCGCTGCCTCCTCCTTTCTGCCTCCTGCGCTCGGCCCACAGATAACAACTCGCCAGGGCCGTGCAGCTCGTGCTCTGCAGGTGCTTGGCATCGGGCAGGAGGGCTGGCAGCCTGCAACTAGCTCCCTGCCGYAGCCTCCAGGCCTCACCTGCACCCCTGCGCCTCTGCCCTAAACCTGCAGGCGCTTTCAGGAGCCTCCCTTACTGTCTGAATGCAAATTCAAGGAYTCTCTGCACCTTTTCTGCCAGCGAGAAGGCTGCCGGATATGGAAGATGCACATACTGAAGGGGACGGACGGGCTGGGGATCCAGATAACGGGAGGCAGAGGGTCGAAGCGATCCCCTCACAGCATCATCGTCACGCACGTGGAGGAAGGCGGCCCTGCGCACAGGTGAGGTGACACCAGGTCCTCTGCCAAGCTGTGTTGCGTGTGATTGAGCACCGGTTGCCATCGTGGTTAGCTGAACTCAAGTGACAAACTGGGGAAATTTGCCCTGCTGCTGCAGAAATCATTGCCCTTGTTAGCACAGAGACTATGAGACTTTTAAGCTAAAAGATGGGTTTTGTGATTGTGCCCTTCCAGCACATCTAATCCAACGTATAAAAAGATCAAACAGATACTTTCATTACTCGTCTGTAGTGATTTCTCTGAAGGGCAGCGCAGTGGGTCCCTGGCTGACTATGGTTGCCTTGTTGCCACTAACCACTTGGTGACAGCGCCTGGAAAGTAACCTAATGTTTAGGGTCTGTGGGAAAGGGCACCTGGGAAGGTGTGAGGGGCACTTGCTCCCAGATGGAAAGGGGAACAGCTCCACTTATAACACATTTCTAAGTGATTTGCTGTGGAGCCCCTTCTGAGCACCTTTCTCTGATCCTCCCACTTTCCACCCTCCGGGCGAATAACGTGGCCAAAAGCGATTTGAGTTCAGCTTCACCCGAGCCGCATTTTTTGCATGTCTCTGCACACCAACATATGCTGTCAAAGTACAGCCTCAGCAGAAGATCCTCTTCTGTAGCTCAGCGTTCCTGCCTTGTTTCCATAGGGACGGCAGATTGACAYCGGGAGACGAGCTCCTCATGATCAACGGGCAGTCCCTGGTTGGGCTTTCCCACCAGGAGGCTGTGGCCCTTCTTCGCTCTGCAGCTGGCCTGGTGCAGCTGGTGGTAGCTAGCAAGGTACGTTCCCTAAATCCTCCTGCTTTCCCTTGGTTTTCCCCGGAATAGCCATTTAAAAGGGGCCGTGCATGCGCTGTATATAAAGGGCAGGTTTTTAATAGCTCTGCGACGAGGCTACGCGCACACGTTTGCGCCTCTAAGTTTAACACGCCGCTGTTGCAAAATGTGGCAGTGGCTGCATTAGATCCGTGGCAAATGAGCAAGATGTAGGCCAAGTTAGTCAGTCATTTGCTTGTATTGTCGCAGCAGGGCTGTGTGCAAATGAGCCTGTATTTATTCATGCAGAGATTGCTTAAGTTCTGGCCAAAAACATTTTCTTAAAATACATGTAGCCTGCTAAATAGAGCAGGCTGTTCGCAGCCTCTTCAGATTCTGCCTGTGTAGCCTCTGTAGCTCTTGTCATATCTGTGTGCTTGAGACCTCTTGATGATGATCTCTTAGTTTGAATTCCTTAATTTGTCCCCGTTAATAGCTTGGATTGAAGTTCTTGCAGATAAAGTAGCATGAAATTTCAGGGAAATGAGAGTGRAACTCATTTATCATTAGGGCTCTTAGTTTGCTTTCAGCACAGGAGAGATTGGAGGGATACTGCACAATTCTTTTCCTTGGGTGCCTGCCCACCCAAGTTCACTCTCTTTCCCCAGAGCAGAGTTTGCTGCTCCTTTACTTGGCCTGATGCACATTTTTGTCGGGCTGCCAAGCCAGATCATGGCTGGGGTTCCTGATATGCCAAGGATGGAGCTTTGGGATGGGGAGAGATATGAAACTGGGGTGCTGTCAGGACCCTCCAGTGCAGGATTTCATGCGTTGGCTTTTTTTAAGCTTCACCTTTAGTTCGCCCTAGCCTGAATGAGGTTTAATATTGGTTTAATTTAGAGATGCTCTTACAGCTTCCTGTAGTGCTCTGTGCTCTCGTTTGTCTGGCAGAGACTTGCTGATGATATTCAAAGCAAAGAGCCTGTGTCTCCCCTAATGTTTTGTTAGTGAGCGAGCTTCATTGGAGACCTTGTGCAGGCCCACAATGTGGTATTAGTCCTGCCAGTGTTTCCTCTGAAAACCGGACACTTTGAACTGAAGTAGGTACATTTTGTGCTTTGGTTGGACAATTGGGCTTCTTCCAACACGCAGAAGAGCAGCCTGCATAAATTTCTTCCTAAAACTATTTCCTCGTACATGTAATAATTGTATCCGAATAACCATGAATCRGCTTACAGCATAAAGCTCCTCACGGTTCTGATCAAGCTTTGAATCTTTTGGCCCATGCTCTGTGTACTTGGACAATATTCCTGTCACTAGGAGGAGAACTTGGTAACCCAAGCAACTGAGGATCTAATCTTTGCCTTGTGTCCAGCACTTGAGGAAAGATGTAAATAGGTGAAGTGTCCTCCTGCACATCCTTTGGGATATTATTTGTTAGCATGAGAAAGCAGCCTTGCACTTTGGCCTGGGGAGCCCTCTGAACACAGGATCTGTTCTGAAAGCAATAAAATGAGACGCTCTGTCTCATCACTGTGTGGAGTTTATGCTTGTGTTTACCCACCAGAAAACATGCCAAAGAATGGAGTTGGGTCCTTAAGCATTCAGGACAGAGTAGATATAGGATTGCTGGGTCAGTTTTCATTTTGTTCTGCTAAGTAGTGTTATCAGATTATTATTCTTATGCATGTAGATAGAATATGTGTGAAAAAAGAGTACGGGGAGAGAGCAGGAATGCAGAGTGTGATGAAATGAGTAATGAATTCTCTAAACTCTGCGTCTTCTTGCAATGACATCTAATAAACTCAGGGCATGGGGGAGCAGGCTGCTGGAGAAGCATTCATTTTCGATTCTCCCTTATAAAATCTAAATGTTTCAGAAAYGTATTGGCCTGTGCTTGCTATATATGCACTTTAAAATCAGTACTGCTCTTTATAACCAAAACATTACGAGCATGTAGAAATACGGAATTGGGGAAAGTTTTTCAGGAAGCTCTCACTGAGCAAGGGAAATAGAGCACTTTTGCCTAGATGTTGGTGGTTCTCTGCATGTCATATAACCTATTTTGTTGTGTCTCTGGTAGGAATCCGCTGAAGGGGATTTTCTGAAGTACCCATCCACCAGCTTGCCAGACTTGCTTAGCACTTGCGCGGTCCAAGACACTGTCTCTTGCACTGATAATAAAGAAAATGAAGAGCCAGAAGAAGAAGATGTGAAGGGAGTGAATGTGGCTCCTGAAACACTGGTTGCCGTAAGTGTGGTTTTGGTGATGTTCTTACTCTGTCCCTTGACATTTGGTTTGTGTCCATCGTACACTGCTACGGATGGACACAGAACAGGTCTTTGGGACAAGTGGATGTGACCCAGCCCTCCTCTGCATTAAAAGTGGTTGACAAACTTAACTGGTGATATGATCAGCTGCAGTGTCTACCATCTCTGTGTTACTGTGCTATAGCTGAGCAGCATCACAGGCAGTAAGAGCTCCCGTGTCTTCCAAGTTCTGTCGCAATTTTATTATTATTATTATTATTATTTCTTTCTCTCTTTCTCTCTTTCTCTCTCCCTTTCTCTCTCTCTTGCTGAATTGCTTTCCACTCTCTTCGAAATGCTTTTGTTGGAACTGCTGAGAAGTCTCTTGCAGTGCTCGCGTAGTAACACGCTTTTCTTTACCCTCCTTTTGTAACTAAACTTCTTTAACAGTTTACGATCAAATTCTTCAAGTTGTTACTTGTTCTATTGAAGCCAAGAGACTCTGGGGGAAGAGCAAGAGTCTCTGGCTGTGAACTGTAACTGAGGCTCTGCTCAATATGGGCTGCCAATTGATAATCTCACTTGTATTCCCTTCCGGGCTGCATTGAGCAGAGATTAAGTGGATTATTGCTATTTATTTCTAATGTAGCAGTTCTGAGAAGCTTTATCTGTGTCCTGCACCTCTGTTGTACTGTGTAGACAGGAATAAAATGAACTCAACTCTATGGTTTATACGCAAATGGAARCGGGTGCATTCAACTGAAGGGATCRTCTTTTTTCATCTTTTGCTCCTTCTTTCCTGTGGTAATAAATCTTGCAAACAGTTGAAAGGACACATACACCTATCTCAGATCTATTTTTATTTTATATTCTTTTATTTACAATCTTTCATGCAACATATCCCTTGTCAAGATGGGCCTAGTACTATAGCCTAGCTGATGCTAATATTCACTTTATACCTGTTTATTATGTCTGGTTTGCTTCGAGTATGTGCTTATAATAGTCCCAGCTCTCAACCAAGTCTTTTGTGTGACATGTTTTGTTTTCTTGTTCCTTTATTTCTGTGCAGTCTTTCCTTTAATGTGCCAGGCTGACTATTTGTGGGAATGAGGGAAAAACAAATAAATCAGGGATACTTAGTGTTGATGATAATGCCAGTATTTGTGAGCTAACTTGAGTGGACATCTAAGCATTCTTTTGGCTTAAAAAAAAAAGGATTTGGCAATTCTTTTTGATATTGTGCTTCAAATTCTGGTAATTATTTGCAAGGCTGTGGCTCAGCAAAGCTTGAACATTAAAATCAATCTTTGCAAAATGTAATTACATAGGGCTTCAGGATGCAGCTACCTGCTGTTCTGGTGACATTTTCAGCATCTGTTAACAATTATTTGTCACTTCATGTGCCCCTGAGTTTCCAGCAAGGGATTCTGTGGTTTTCAGCGATGGCTTTTTTTGATGTTACTGAGTGTTTCCTTTCCAGATTAACAACACTAAGGGGAACCCCAGGTAGCCCCCATGTCACTGTAGGCCTTGCCAAAACAGCCCACCCAGGACCACACAGCAGAGCTTACAGCTTGTCCTGGAATCCTGCTCCAGGAGCAGCTTGTCCYGCTCTTAGTGGGGCTGTTCTGGCTTTAAAGCTGGCTGGGTCATGCCTACTGTGTGGCATCTTGCTTTGGGTGGTGGCACCTCCGTGCTTCTGTAATGCAGGAGGTGATGGTGGAGTTCAGAGGGATGGAGCTCGCTGGGGAGCTCTCTGTAGCGCTAAGGGATGGGAATGGGTCAGAGGGAGACGCTTCGCTCCGCTTTACTGGGTCTGGCGGGACAAAGAGGAGGATTTTTCAYGCTAAGGCTTCCTGAAGCCAATTTGAAGGTCCGTATGAACAAAAAGTATCACCTTTTTATACATATTTTTATAAAAATCTATATCTAAGGTATATAATAATATATATTCCTGCAAAATTGCTTTGAAAATTACTATTCTCTGCTCCTCCAGCTCTCTTGGTGATGACCACATGGTTTCTCTCATATATATGTTCTCCACGTGTGTACTGTAGATAGAGGTGACATTGTGACTGATGATTGAAGCCAAAGCCAAGCTTGTCTGCTCTCTTACTCATGTGAATGTGAGTGCGTTGAGGCAGGTACTCAAGGTCTGAACCAGTGTAACTGAGACTGTGAACCTGGTCTCAGCAGCAGGACCTCTTGCTTTGGAGGTGATTCCCAGCCTCACTCYGCTCAGGAGCTGTGTTTCTTACCCACGGTTTCTCCCCTCTGACAAGAGGTTAATGTGCTGTGTCTTGCCTTCAGTAACACTTTTAGAGCCTCCAATGGATGGTGGCAGCAGTGTCGTGTCCTGGGTGGTTAGGTAACAAAAAGTAATTCAAAACAGCAGCTGGGGATTCATGCCCCTTTTCATAGTCCTGGAGTCTGACTCCACTTGTGCCCTTTCCAGCTGCCGCTCGTTGCTGCTGGGCAGGAGGCCAAGGCAGCAAGGAAGACTTTAAAAGTAACACCATGTTTCAGCCCTCCACGGGCTGTAGTTATCCTGGGAGGCYTGGGGCAGTACCAAGCTGGTGTTTGCTGACCAACATCCCATAAATCTGCATAATTCCAGAGTCTGGATAYAGAGATGCTACTAGACTTACAGGGCGAAGGATTTTGGAAGCTCTTAGCATTGGCCAGGGTCTTTTGTTATGAACTTCATTATGAATACAGCACAGTACTGGGCAGAACCATAAATCAYAGACCTGCTGTACTTGCTGTTGGGGGTTAACATCCCATCTTTTCCATGCTGAAGCAGGCCCGGTGCTTTGTGCAGAGGGACCAATATCCCTTCCTGAAGAAGAAGCCCTGCGGGAGGGAACCCCGGCACTTGCGGGGCTTTCCTGAAGTCATCTTGGGGTCGTAGCTCCGGAAAGAATCATTTACGGCTAAGACTTGCCCTGATATCATCATCCTCATAGATATTCAGAGCTCAGTTGGAGCCRGCCCTGGGCACCCTGGTCTAAGCTGCCTCTGCTCTGAGAAGGGACCCCCAGAGGTCCCTTCCAGGCTAAACGGGTCTGTGATTCTGCATCACTTCAGAGAAGGAAACAAATCTCTTCCTTAGGTGCCTCTTCAGTGGTTTCCCTGTAAGCAAGTTATTTAAAACCCCCAGTTTTGCTCCAGGGTTTGCAGCTTGGCAATGTACTGAGCTGTTCAGCTTCCTCAGGACCCAGTAAAAGAGTTGTTAGTGATACTTGAAAACTGTAATTTAAGAGAAATATCACTTGTAAGGCTTACTTAAAAGGCCRTTTGTTGTATTACATTAATAAAAGTTTCATAAATACAGTTTAATTGGAGCTCCATTTCAACAGAGTCTGGTTATGTAAACCCCCTGTTTAACRTGAAATGTCCCTTCAAGTTCTAACTTTAATAAAACTTGTGCTGCCAGGCAGCAAAAGGATTACATTAATATCCTTAAAGCGTATTTCTTTCAGAGCTAGTTTGGCCAAAATGTTCTTCAACTTCAGATATGAAATACTGGGCCACAGAGCTTGTGTTAAATTGTCCTGAATTACTTTGGGGATTTTAAACTCCCACCCCAAATCCATATTTTGCCTTGTGCAATTGACACTGGTATTTTAAAATGTCATTATTTGTTTCCAAGTGAGATAGGACAATATAATGTTATTTGCCTTGGACTATTTATTTTTAATTCTAATTCATTTTTACTGGCGTTTCTGTTGCTCGAAATTGAAGCTATTTGTCACCGTATTGCTGCGTGGCAGAGCAACCTGGGAACTGTGGGCAGAAAAGGAATCCACCAAGAGTCTGCAAAATACCTGATTACTCTGGAGTGTGGATGTATGTGTGGAGATGTGCACCATTCCTACTTGCTTCTGAAAGATTTTGCCCCTGCATCAACATATGCTGCTCAAATATTTTCTTAATTAAGTAGCCAGTAGTAATGAGCAGGTTCATATGAATGGATGGGTGAGGAATTTGAGTAACTTAATGCAAGGGGATGGAGGGGGGCTGGAGTGTGCAGTGCCCGAAGGCAGGGGCAGAGCAGTCCTAGGGGCACTTGCTGCCCATGCTGGGGCAGGAAGGAGACTCCGTCCTTGTGCCAGTCCCCTCCTCTCCTTCCCACCCCCCTGTTTTGCTGGTGTTGAATCATTTTGCATTGACCTCAAGTGCTCAACGTGATCCAAGTTGTGGGCGCTTTGCGTTTGGAGACTGCCGCGACCCACCAAGGCCCGATGCTCCCACTGTAGCAGAAACAGGATGTCGCTGGTTAAAGCCTAAATACCACCATTTCTGTCTGAGCTGTGTTTCTTTATTTGTGCCAAAACCCACTTACGTTTTTGGCAAGGCACGCTGCTGAAATTGAAAAAATAAACCTATTCTGTGAATATGCAGAAATGGATTTGCCCCCCACCTCCTTTTTTATTTCTTTTTTATTCTTTTTCGCTCGGAGCCTTAGGAAAGTTTTGCTGTTTCCCATTGCGAGCCTCTGTCTTGCTGGAGGATCCGTGTGTAATTACCTCTAGCCGTGTAAGCATAATAAGGAAGAGGGATAACAATGCTGTAAGTTTAAAAACACCGTTGGGGTCARAAGTTCTCCTGGAAACCCTGGGAGAGGGTTTGGGAGCAGGCGCCGGCCTTGCAAAGGCGCAGGAAGCGGAACGTAACTCGCCCGTTGGCCGCACGGGGAGGGCCCCTCGCTGCTGGAGGGCTCCAGCGTCCGTCCCCGCTGGGGCACTGCAGCCTCCCCAGAGGCTGCTGACAAGGGAATCACTTTCCAGGGAGAACTGATGTCTGGAAAAGCGAGGGAGACCTTTTGCTGTCAGCAATCTGCTTTGCACTGAGATATGTTATGTGAAGGATGAAGGGGCTCCTTTCCTCTTCCTGGCAGGGGCTGGCAGTGTTTGCAACTCCTACCTCCTCCTTACTGTTCATCTCCTGGGGCGCTGAGCCCCCAAAGGGACCGGCGAGAGCAGGGTGCAGCCTCAGCTC